AGACATTGTCCATACGTGCACATTTAGCGCAGGCACGCCTCACCAAGCCACGTTGTATCATTCATCATGCATTTATTTACAAGTGGTGAATCGCCGATTATTTGTTAAGGCTATCCGCCACATCACATGCCTCCCTCCTATATACAACATGTTTATCGACGTGCATTGCGTGCACACAATGAAGTGCACTTACATCAGATTCACATTCCACCGAATCCACGAGCACCACTGCAAAATGCTGGTGAGACGCATTTGCTTCCTCCTCGCTCTCCTTCTCCTCACCTCAGCATTCGCAAGTCGGCCCTTCTTACAGGCTAGTTGGATGGTCTGGAAAGCGGCCAACAAAAAGAACTATCCCACACTACGCGAGGAGCGCCTACGAATGCGCATTTTCATCTCCAACTGCATGTTCAGCCGATGGCACAATGAACGCTATCACCTCGGACTGGAGACGTACTCCACTGCACTCAATGCGTTTGCCGACCTCACGTTGAAGGAGTATGCGGAGAAGTACCTCAGGCTCAACAAGGCCACGGTGGGTCACTTCTGGCACTACGACGCGAGCATTCATCATGTGGTGCAACCTCTCCAACCACTTGAAGCGGATGCAGTTGACTGGCGTAAGGAGGGACTTGTGACACCTGTTAAGGACCAAGTAGGCTCGACTCAAATACCTCCACACACTCATTCATGCTCTCTCCCACATCCTCACACTCGCCTCATCATGAATGCTTGTAGGGGCCGTGTGGCTCTTGCTGGGCTTTTTCTGCCACTGGCGCTCTCGAGGCTCAGTTAAAGAGGAAAACAGGGAAGCTTGTCAGTTTGTCGGAACAACAATTGGTTGACTGTAGCCGATACACAGGCAACGAAGGTTGCCGCGGTGGTTTGATGAGCAGCGCCTTCGAATATTGGACGAGGTATGGAGCGGAGAGTGAACGTGATTATCCCTACACTGCACGAGTAAGTAAGTGTTGCTCCTTATTCGGACTAAAAATGGAGGTGAGTCCACTGTTTTGCTAGAGGCGTGGAAGTGGAGTACAAGTAAGCGGAGAGGTGGTTAATGAGGGCCGTTGAAAGTCGAAACTTTCATTGTGCAAGTGTGGTGAATAAAAGTTTCGGTTGGCCTTTTTTAATCCCCTGTTCGATTGCTCTCAGCTCCACCAATCGACCATCTTACACCTCAGATGCATTTCCTTTCCATTCATGTGGTATGTAGACTCAAAGAAGGAAGCCCGGCGACCATACAAGTGTCAAATCGGTTCAAATTACCGCAGTTTATATCGTCTCCCACAAAGTGTCGCCTCATATGTCCGTGAGACATATTACGCAGCACTTAAATTAGCAGAATGGACTTAAC